AGCATTGTAGTGGAGGTTTTATAATGACATCCAAGCCCTTTGCTTGATATAAATACAGTATCTGGCTGCAATTTACATTTGTGTCCCATTTATCCTCTCCTTGATATAAATGTTCCATCTTTTCCCTTTATAAACCAGAGCAGAAAGCAGAGCAGTCCCGTTTTATTATTATCCTTTTAATAACCTTTCTAATAGTGTAAGTGAGAGTAGTAATGTCCTTCCAGTTACCTCACCTAAATGAAATGTTAACTGAAAGTCAGGAAAAGAATGGTGGTTTTGTAGCCGAGGCATAGGAGTGAAATTCTGGACCCACTGAAGTCAATGAAAGGATTTTTTCACCCCTGGGTTTTATTCCTGGTTCATCTTCAATCTTCCTCAGTAACCTTTCAGTTCTTTGTGCCAAAGTTTCCTCATCTGTAGAATGGGGAAAAATCCCTACCTCACAAGGGGGGTTGTAAGATTTCATTCAGTAATGTTTGTGGAAGCACTTTGAGATCTTTGATTGGAGGAGGCTAAAGAAATGCACAGTTCTTATGAGGAGAGGTAAATATTATAACTTCAGATCTGAAACGTGTTAACTCAGCAGTTAAAGTTGAAGTAATTTTCATCCTTCTTCATAACAAAGTATAAAAAAAAGACAACTCCTACTTAAAAAAATCAAGGCCCAATTAATTAAGGCCCAATTAATCCTACAAGCCCTCCATATCCAGAACTCCCAGTGAAGTCAGTTACCAGATCAATAATGTAATGGGTTCTCAAATATTCAGTTTCAATGTAGACAGCAAAAAATGGCTGTAGTGTCATCTTTCACCAGCACAGGGCCCAATCCTGAGATCCTTTTTCTTTCTCCCCTAACTCTTTATTCCAGCAAAACTCTCATTTCCTTTCACTGAGTACAAACTGAGTCAGAAGCTCAGAATTTGGCCCTCAGAGAGACTACGAAGTTATGGTTTATTTTCCAGATACATTTTTAAAATGCGGTAATAATCCTGATCCATTGCTCAAATTTGTTGTGTTGAGCTCAAGACTTGGAAAATGGAAAGAAGTGACAAAGTCAATTGATGTGTCTGGCTTTTACTGCAGGTTCAGTGTAAGAAATCCACAACTTGCTAAAACGGCATGATGACTAGTTATGCAAACATCTTAAACTGAAAGCACAGTCCTGGGGCTGGTACTGTAGCTGCACAGCCCTTCCTCACTTGGGAGATAATTATGATTTCTAAACTTCGACACTACAGAGAGATGTGGATTCTGCCGTGAGGAGCCCCTTAGTGGATTTTTTTGATAATTTCATACACTTATGTTTTTCATAGTGATGTGTTGTTTTTTTTAACAAAAATAAGCCTACAACCTAGAGTCTTCTTGTTAAAGCTTCAGGAAGCTGCTCACCACTGCTGCAGTCTGAGATCCTGCTCCTGCTTGTGTATAATGTTTCTTATTTGAATATTCCTATTTAGTGTTTGCAGGATTTGGAAACAGGTTTATGATAGTATTTATAACAGCTTTCAAACATGGCTATACCATGGCTTTACAGCCTGTCTACAAATCACTTACCCTGTGACATGATTCCTTAACACAGCTCTGTAACAGTACTGTCTCATTATCACCCTACAAACAAAAGGTGTGTTAAAACACCGATTCCTCTAGACATGACAGATACATGTGCATTGGCACAGGTTTACAAGGCCTCATTCTCCCCTCACACCGATTTTATATCAGTGCATTCCAAGTCCATAGCTTGTTAAACTGAACTGGGGAGGTTGTGGGGCACAAAGACAAAGATTACAAAACCACTGTGTCCTTCACATTTTTTCCCTAAGAATAAACATAAAGATACAGTATATAAATAATTAAAATTCAATTAAAATACCATCTGGGGCCACTATAGATGGCATCAAACCTTGTTAAACTATGTCACTGAATTACATAAAGGCCTTCGGAAAGGCTGTAGCACACAGTTTCGAAACATAGGCCGGATTCTCCCCTCAGATACCCTGGTGCAAATCAGTACTAAATGGAGTTACACTGGTGTAAGACAATGCAGACTCAGGCACATTGTTTAGTCCCAGGCCCCTCCCAACAACACTACCAGATCATATTATTTTAAGTTAATATCCATGCTGGGAGGAATGGCCATGTTTTAACAGGGTTCTCCAACATGGTAAATTTCATAGTGCAGGCAGACAGGACTGTATTTTTAAACATGCAGGAAGAGTGGAGGCCCTCAGATGTGATGGTGATGGGCAGGTAGGTAGATAGAACCTAACTCTCTCCCTCCATACCTCTTTCTTCTGCTTTCCCTCCACTGGTTCCAATGTTCGTCCTCTCCTCCGCCCCCAGCGCGCTGTCCTCAGATCTAAGAACAATCCCCAACCCTATGTATCCCCGTGGGTCTCTCCCCACTTCCTGCAGCCTTTCCCCTGCTCACCTGGGGTCATCCTCCCCTCCCTTGCCATGCGAGCACCAGGACCAGGGTTGCCTTTCCTCAGTGATATCTTCTCTGCCTACCCTATTGTTCTCCTCAAACCCACAGAGAAGGCTGCCAGCAGGGGGAGAGGCAGGGTGGTATCTGTTACTGCACTGAGTACAAGGCTGTCTCATGGCTGTCCCTGCTAGTGGGAGGACAGAAGTGCAGGGATTTTCTCTCAATACCCTTTTACATGCTGGGAGCTGAGCTGGGAGATGCAGTGGGGACAAATGGGTAGGTGGTGCCACCCAATGTCTGCCCATTGACCATTACGTCTTTGACTTAAGCAGAATTATAACAGAATGACTCCAGTTTGAGCAGAGAACCAGGTCTGTTGTGTAAACAGTCCCTTTCTATGGTCTCAGTGGGCTTGAATCTCTACTACCTTGCGTTATATACATTTACTCTGGTGTAAAATGGTAGTGAATCTGAATTCTTCACTGACTTGCATTGGTGGTCATATTTTATACCTGCTTCACAGAAGTGTAAATGACTATACAAGGTGTGACATAATGAAGAATCAAGTCCACAATTGTTGTTAGCCTTTTGGGCACATTTCCTGCAGTCCTTACCCAGACAAAACTCCTGCTGAAGTCTTTAAGGAACAGTGAGCACTGAAGTGTGCCACTGATGGACTAGAAGATTTCAAAATAATCAAGTGGTCTGAGCTAAATGAGCTGAACTATAAGGTGACATTCAGCATCTGCATGGTGGACTGATTTTCTTTATGGGTGTGTATGTGTGAACAGGTTTCAGAGTAACAGCCGTGTTAGTCTGTATTCGCAAAAAGAAAGGGAGTACTTGTGGCACCTTAGAGACTAACCAATTTATTTGAGCATGAGCTTTCGTGAGCTACGGCTCACTTCATCGGATGCATACCGTGGAAACTGCAGAAGACATTATATACACACAGAGACCATGAAACAATACCTCCTCCCACCCCACTGTCCTGTTGGTAATAGCTTATCTAAAGTGATCATCAAGTTGGGCCATTTCCAGCACAAATCCAGGTTGGATTTGTGCTGGAAATGGCCCAACTTGATGATCACTTTAGATAAGCTATTACCAGCAGGACAGTGGGGTGGGAGGAGGTATTGTTTCATGGTCTCTGTGTGTATATAATGTCTTCTGCAGTTTCCACGGTATGCATCCGATGAAGTGAGCCGTAGCTCACGAAAGCTCATGCTCAAATAAATTGGTTAGTCTCTAAGGTGCCACAAGTACTCCTTTTCTTTATGTGTGAACAGAAGCTTGAAGGCCTGATCCATGGACTTTTTACAGTCATTGAGAATCTTTCCATTTGCTTTAATAGACTTTGGATCAGGCCTTAAGAGAGGTGACAGCAGGGAGCCACAAAAGAGAACGCTGAAAGGGAGGTTTGGGGTTTCTTTGACAAGAAAACTGAGGGGAGAAAAGGGAAAAATTACAGAACCCCAAAGATCATTTGAGGTGGCCTTTGTCTTTGGAGAACACTGACTCACAAAGTGTTATTCCAGTTATTTGCCAGTGTAAATGCCCTGAAATCAGGCCCTTTGTATTTAATTTTTATATCTGTGACTTGTCAGGAAAAAGGGAGAAAAAAAGAGAGCCAAATGGCAGAGATAAAATTATAGTAGTTGAAAGTATATTTTTTCCCTTGGAGTTTTATCACATCTAAAACTAGTCAAGGCAGGCAAAAGACTTTAATTAGGGATCAACCCTGCATTAATTGCACTCCCAGAACTCCCACTGGGTTGCAGAGTTTGCAAGGCAAATACTGGAACCTTGTGCTAGCCTATGACAGCCTGAAAGTGATTCTAAATGGACTATAAACAGAAGTGAAACTGACTAGTTGATTCTCAGAATCCAGGCTGAGATAAATGTAAAAGGTACTGGTGACAAATTTTAAATTTCTTTCAATTTTAATAATCTGAGGTGTGAAAGCTATTTGTCACATAGGTAAGCTCAATAAAATATATGACTTTTAACCTGACAGCGTACGTCAAAATAGGCTCAATTGATGAGTGTCAATACCAGACAGATAGCAGCAACACAGGGCCTGATTTTCAGTTAGCAGGTAGGTGGATGTCTACATATGATATCAGTAAGAGTTTTGATTGACTGAGGCCTGGAGGACTTGTCCTTGCAATTTTAGTTCCAATTGTGACGTAATATTTAATTGCTTGGATCTCTCTAAACAATACCATAAATATTTGGTAGCATGCATTACATCATTAGAACATTACTGTAATACAATATTTTTTCTATTAAATGCCAGTGACTTGTCAGAATGTTAAAATATGTATCAATTTTAAATGCAGAATGAAAACTATATTTCATTTGTTCAGGCATCAAAAATGAGAGTGAAAATAATATAGTCCTCATCTTGGAATCAAGCTCAGTTTGAAAATGAAACTGTTATATATGCTCAAGTATGTATTAAATTTTATAACCTGTCCTTTAGAAATGCTTACTATCATTAGGATTTAACAGCAAAATTCAACTGTCAGAGGATTTATTCTTATAAGAAAATTATATGCTTTCCTCCCCCCAGAAATATTTTATGATGAAGGCATATCACTTCGAGAGCAATCAGACATGCAAGTAGCCCTTCCAAAAATCAAGCAAGTTCTTGAAGAGATTTAAAAATAGAAAATTTTGAGTTTTATTATGGATCACAAGACTGAAGGGAAAAGGAAGCAGCGACATAGCTTGACTTTACTGGATCAATTAAACAGTATGAAAGAATTAACACAAATGATTGATGTGGTCCTTGTAGCAGAAGATGAGAAGTTCCCCTGCCATAAATTGATATTGGCTGCATTCAGTCCCTATTTCAAAGCTATGTTTACCTGTGGCTTGCTTGAGTGCACCCAAAGAGAAGTGGTGCTCTATGACATCTCGTCAGAGAGTGTGTCCATAATACTCAACTACATGTACAGTGCAGATTTGCACCTCACTAATTTCAATGTCCAAAGTGTTGCTGTTGCTGCATTTTTTATGCAGATGGAAGATGTTTTCAATGTGTGTCAGAAATACATGATGGACCATATGGATGCTTCCAACTGTGTGGGGATCTACTATTTTGCAAAGCACATTGGGGCAGAGGAATTGTCCGATCAAACCAGGCAATATTTGTATCAGCACTTTGCTGAGGTGAGCTTGCATGAAGAAATATTAGAGGTTGAAGCACAGCAATTGCTGAGTCTCATAAGATCAGATGATCTGAATGTATCCCGGGAGGAGAACATTTTGGACTTGGTCCTCAGATGGGTGAACCATAGCAGAAAATCACGTGTCGAGTACCTGATTGAACTCCTGAAGCAAGTGAGACTGGAACTTGTAAGTCCTTCTTTCCTAGTGGAAGCTCGGAAAAGGAACACGGTTCTTCTCTCTAACTCAGAATGTCATGATATGATTGATGGAGCATTAGAAACTATAAAGAAATCCACCCACCCCTCTCTCAGTCTTCGCTATGGCATGGAGACCACCAGTCTTCTACTTTGCATCGGCAATAATTCTCTGGGGATTCGATCAAGACATGGTAGCTATGCAGATGCCAGTTTTTGTTACGCTCCTGCAACACAAAAGACTTACTTCATTTCCTCCCCAAAGTATGGTGAGGGTTTAGGATGTGTGTGTACCGGTGTTGTCACTGAGAACAATGATATTATTGTGGCAGGGGAGGCCAGTGCTGCCAAAATGTCTAGACAAAAAACCAAGAACATTGAAATTTATAGGTGTGTATCCTCAAATGGGAGGAAAAAATTAATCATTGTTTTAAAGTTAAACAATAAATAATGTTCCTGGAGCAGGAAAAGGCCACTAGAGAAAGCATTCTTCTCCCCATATGTTTGTATGTGGATTTCAGGTACCCAAAGCAATTTGTTACAAAGGGCAATCTGTCTCTCTCCATGAAACACTGAGGCATCGCCTTCTATATTAAGGGCCAAATCCTGACCCTTTTACTCATGAGAAGGCCCATTGACTTAGATGGAATCCTTGTATAAGTAAAGTGAACTGGATTTCATCCTAAGTCTCTTTCTGTAGACCTCATATTCCCCTAATCGAAAGGTCATCAGTTTGTTAGTATTTTCTTTCCTGGATCATTCCTCCAGGTCATTTATTTAATAGTGGTGCTGATGTCTGAGATGTGGAAATTAATGAATGAGTTTGGCCATTCATGAATCTACACCCAGCTTTAACTATACCATGCTGATGATGCATGGGAGCTAAAATGTAATAATCATAATAATAATAATAAATAATTATTAATAATTAATAATATTGAAACCTTCACTCTGTTTTTACTCATTCCTCACTCAGATAAACCCGCATTAAGGAACATAGGAGCTTTGCCAGAATCAAGACTGATTACAAAGTGAAGCCAACATCAGCAAATGTGGGGCCTAAATTGAGGCGCATAAATCCACAATTAGACACTTAAATAAATGTGGCCTTTGTTTCAGAGGTGCTACTGCAGGTTTCACTGAGTACAGTGGGAGTTATGAGCGCTCAGCTCATGCAAAATAAGGACACTTTAATTGTGGTCAATATTTTCAAACTTGGGTGCCTAGAATTAGGTTCCTAAGTCCCTACTAAAGCCCTGATATGCAAACACTTATGCATGTGAGTAATTTCATGCACGTGACTAATCCCACTAAGTTCAAGGCTAGAAACGTTTCTTCTCTGTTGACAAGAGAAAGAACTTCTGTTGTCACTGTAACATCATCTGAAACTGGAGAAGGGAGATTTAAATACAAAATTGATATGATTTTATCAGAACCACAGTTTCTAATTTTGGATTTTCCTACAGGTACCACAATAGAGGAAACCGGTTTTGGCAAAGTTTGTGCACTGCTCAGTTTCGTGAACTCTATGCCTTGGGCACTGTTCATAATGACCTGTATGTCATAGGAGGGCAAATGAAACTGAAAAATCAATATCTGGTCACAAACTGTGTTGAGAAGTATTCCATGGAGCAAGATAGCTGGAGAAGCGTGGCACCTCTTCCAGTGCAACTGGCCTGCCATGCTGTGGTAACAGTAAATAATAAACTCTATGTGATGGGAGGCTGGACACCACAGGTAAAGAAGTGTACTAATTATTTTATTCTATAAAAGCTAGCTAACCTGGCTTATGTGCTGCCTAACTTTGTGGCTCTTCTTGCATAGTTAAAATACCTCAGTTATAAGCAAAAAATAAATTGCACTCATTCCTCTCACATCTTTAATGGGAAAATCAAGCAAGCCAAGGAGGAATAATGTCCATGTCATATAATCTTAAATTTATATGCTACCCGTAATAAAGGCAGTTGTTTCAAAGGGAGTTTCTCAGTGAGAAAAAAATTAAAAATGCATCCTGTCTAAACACAGTTTCACTCATGTTCCATTTTTAAATAGTCATGGGGTAAATCCTGAAGTCCTTACTCAGTTTTTAATCCAGCGAAACATTAATTAAAAAGAAATCATGGTGATGATTATACTTGGGTCTTCCCCGGCACTTTCACATCCCACTAGTTAATAATTGTCCTCTATAACTTTTCTATCAGCAGCAAATAGTTGTGTTTAAATAAGAGACAGAACAAATCCTGCATCTTGGCAGGATGTTAGACTAGATCAGTGGTTCTCAAACTTCATGGCACCGCCACCCCCTTCTGACAACAAAAATTACTACATGACCTCGGGACGCAGTGTCGAAGCCTCAGCCCACCTGAGCACCGCCACCCCAGGTGCCGGGGCCAAAGCTCAACCCTCACCACCCCATGCGGGAAGTGGGGCAAAGCCGAAGCCCAGGGCTTCAGCCCCAGGCAGGTGGCCTGTAACCTGAGCCACACTGCCACCCAGGGCTGAAACCCTTGGCTCGGCTTTGGCCCCAAGTGGTGGGGCTCAGACTTCAGCCTCAGGCCCCAGCAAGTCTAACACCAGCCCTGGTGACCCCATTAAAATGGGGTCGTGACCCACTTTGGGGTCCTGACCCATAGTTTGAGAACCCCTGGACTAGATGACCCTTGCGGTCCCTTCTAACTCTATGTTCTATGATTCTAAGACATGGACCCATACTGGAATCCAAAATCCAACCCCTATAAACTTTGGTAAATTTCAGGTCCAAATCCATATACAAGCTTCACAGCTCAGCTCCATTACTTGGGGAATCTTTTCCGTTTTTAGGTGTTTGGGTTTGTTTATTTTTTTTTTATAAAAAGTTAAAACTTTCAGTGGAAAAGCAAAAAGAAAAGGAGTACTTGTGGCACCTTAGAGATGAACCAAGCTTTTCATCAAAAAATTAGTTTGGTCACAAATGCAATTTTCCACCAAAATAATTTGTTAGACTTTATTTGGGACATTTATAATATATGTTGTTGTCTGTAGGATATTAAAAATGTGATCACGTCTCATTGGTTTGGGACCACTTTTTAGAATCAAATCTTTAAAAATTTAAGACTAAAACATGTTCAGAAAACACAATTTCCATCTGTTAAGATATTCTGAGTTTGGAAATCCCTAAGGAGGAAAGAGAATGTTAAGAGAGTAGGTCTGACACTGAAACTGAGCAAAGATACTTTCTCTTTTTTAAATAATTAAAATACAAGGACGTACTTAACATGGAAATAATATGGCTGTAAAAAGCTCAAGCTGGGTGGTGTGTAATATAACAAAGATAGATGTTAAGGTAGACGCCCAGCTTTTGTCTAGCTTGATAGCTCTCTAAAACTAAGGAGAAAAATGCCTGAGAAGCTATTGTCCTGAATATTGAGCCAAGACTGTTAAAAATACACGCACCTGGGAACTGATACCTGCCAACTAGCACTTTCTGTGACAATTCAGGAGTACATATCTATGCATACAGTTGTTTGGGATGAGCAGTTTAGCATTAACTGGTAAGGAGTTACATAAGAATCTATCTGCACAGGTCAGAATGCATTAGCCACAGTGGTGAAATAAAGATTTTAAGACCAATGACCCAGCGGTAGGTGTGTTGCTTCAGTATTAGTATTCCCCTCTCAGGCACTAAGGGTGTATACTGGGGTGGGAAAACTATGGCCCATGGGCAACATCCGGCCTGCCAGCCAATTTAATCCAGCCCTTGAGCTCCTGCTGAGGAGCGGAGTCTGGGGCTTGCCCTGCTCCTGCACTCCAGCCGGAGCGTGGGGTCGGGGGTCGCTCGGCATGTGCATGCCACCACTCCACAAGACTCCCACAAGCAGCGCATGTCCCCGCTCCGGCTCTTCCATTTAGGGGCAGCCAGGGGGCTCTACGTGCTGCCCCCGCCCCAAGCGCCACCCCCGCAGCTCCCACTGGCTGGGAATTGTGGGCAATGGGAGCTGCAGGGGTGGCGCCTACAGACGGGGCAGCGCACAGAAGCACCTGGCTGCACCTCTGCTTAGGAGCCGGAGGGGGCACATGCCACTGTTTCTGGGAGCTGCTTGAGGTAAGTGCTGCCCAGAGCTTGCACCCCTGAACCCCTCCCGTGCCCCAACCCCCTGCCCCAGCCCTGATCCCCCTCCCGCCCTCTGAACCCCTCGATCCCAGCCTGGAGCACCTTCTTGAACCCCAAACCCCTCATCTCCAGCCCCACCCCAGAGCCTGCACCCCCAACCCAGAGCCCCCTCCCGCACCCTGAACTCCTCATTTCTGGCCCCACCCCAGAGCCCGTACCCCCAGCCAGAGCCCTCACCCCCCTCCTGCACCCCAACCCCAATTTTGTGAGCATTCATGGCCCACCATACTATTTCCATACCCAGATATGGCCCTTGGGCTAAAAGGTTTGCCCACCCCTGGTGTATATGTATGATATTGTCAAATGAGCAGTATGAAAGCATATTAAAGTGTCTCAGGTTAGGGGTTATCTTTATATTTGCGCAACCCTGAGCACTCACTCCATCAGCCTTGACAAAGATTAATAATATAACATTGCTATAGTGCCATAAGTGTACATGTCAGTTCACAGAACATAGTCAAAGATATGCTCTCCCCCCTGAGACCTTATAATTGAAATAAGACAAGGCAAACTCAAGACCGGACATATAACAACAGCTCAGGAGAGGGAGGGCCTTACTCACCACAGCATTACTCCAGTTCTGCACTGGTGTAACTGCACTGACGTCAATGTAAAATTGGAGTAGTGCAGTGAGTATCAATCAGGCCTGTGGAACTGGGAGTTGTTAATAACGAGAAGGAAAGAAGGATTTTATGAAGAGGTTCTGTCAGAGGGTAGCTGGCCCTCTGAGGCAGTCCGGGGCTCAGCCTACCTATGAAGGCTCAACAAGGGTTACATGAGACAGCCCAGGTTCACCTGGGACTCATTACATCATTGAATAACTGAGAGGCCATTAATTAGGCAGGGAAGCACCTCGGCATCATAAAAGGAAGCTACTCTCAGTGGGGGTGGGCCAGAGAACAGAGGTTCCTGGGGAAGGGAACTGTCCCTACAAGGAGAAAGTTCTCAAGGGGAGCCTAGTGAGGGGACTCACCAGAAAAGGAAACCAATAAAGAATGTTCCTAGGTGGGAGAGGCTCCAAAGGGGAGGAGCTTTGAATGCCAAGGCTTAGTGGCCCCTGTGGAAGGACTTCATCAGGTAGCAACAGAAGCCCCTGATCAGAGGAATTCTAGGCTGTTCTGAGGATGGGTGGTCATGGTTTGATCTCTGTGAGGATCTTGACCCAGAATGAGAGACCCTTCCCCAGCCAATGACAAAAGGCCCTGGCTTCAGAAGATGATTTTGGGACAAGAGGTCCTTGCTGGTAAGGGACCTGGACATAAGTGGGGTTGATGGACTAAGTTTAATTCAGCCCCCTCCCTCTTCAGCTAGAGATGCAGAGGGGGAGGCCTGTTTGTATACGGTTCCACCTTTGGGTTACATAAACTAGACCCCTGCAGGGGCCCAGTTCAATACACATGTGTCTTGTTGCCCTTAGTGAAAGCCCACTGTGGAAACTGAGGCAGGGATGTAATTGTGATGCTATACTGAAAGGCTGCTCCAGGAGTGAGGACCGCCATCACAGGTAGGTTTGGGAGGAGGCTGATGAGGGCAGTGAGATGGTTATGGTCTCTGGGAGCAGAATGGAAGAAAAGTGTGAGGTTGAGTGTTCTGTACACAAAAAGCAAAGCGTGCACGTTCAGTGTAAATTACTTTCATTATCTAGCCTTTGATTCCTTGCCCATTGCCATGATGTCAGAGTGTCTTTATACTAAGGAAAACAACAAGCGAAAAAGAACAAATATAACAACCCCATGAGTAAGCAGAGTATGCGTGTGTGTGCTCTTTCTCTCATTGAAATACTTCAGAGCCCTCCCCCACAGCAGACTACTTACATTTAAAGGGGCCGTCACATAATTACTGCTGAAAAACAATTATAGCTGCTTATGTAACACCAAAAGAGGGAGAAAATGGGGAGGAAGACTGGAATAAACGGGGGGGGGGGCAGGAGTGGGTATGGGAGGGGTATAATGGGAACAAAGCTGTAGTTGGAAGCCAGGGGGTTATTATTAAAACTATTAAATGGAAAGATTTAGCAATTGTTCAGTTTTAATTATTTGTTGATTAAATAAATAGACATTAATTCAGAACAAATATTGTATATAAAGAGGTTCTTAAATCAGCCTTTAAAGTACCCCATCAAAACTCATGGTACAGCATCAGTAACCAAGTAAACAGAAATTCAGTCTTCAGGAGAAAGGTTTTGACTTATTCTTAGAGCTTCACAGAGGCCTTGTAAAAGAGCTATGTTCTGTCAGAACTGCGTCCATAGATGTTTTGTTATTACCCAAATCCTCCACTTTTTTGCCATAGAATATAAATAAACTGTTATTCATCTGTCTTCTACAATGTACTTCTAGCCACAAGTCATGGGTGCTGGTAAATCGTAGTGAGTATTAATCACTTCACAGCTATAATTGATGTGTTTATGTTATTTATCTGCTCAGCTGTCTCCTGTGATTAATTGCACGCAGGCATGTCCAGAGGGCTCCAAATGTTGTATTATTATATGACTGTCATATTTCATACAGATGGATCTCCCTGACGATGAGCTGGATCGATTAAGTAACAGAATGTTGCAGTATGACCCAGGCCGAGACAAATGGACAGAGTGCACACCAATGAAGTACTCCAAATACCGTTTCAGCACAGCTGTAGTCAACAGTGAGATTTATGTCTTGGGTAAGAGGAAACAGATTTTTAACAGATAGCACAACCACTTTTTATTTTTTCCAGCAATTTGCCTCCGTGAAATGAAAGACTGCCCCTTTTGTTTTCAACAGTAGGGCAAAGTATATTGGACTCAGTGGATTGAGTTTTTCATTTTTTTCATAATTTCTTGCATTCTTAAATTCAGTTAGGTGAACCTGAAATGAAACTTTATTGCTCTGGCTTAATATCGTTTCTTTAACCCCTTCCATCTGAGGATCTCAATGTTAATGAATCCAGACTCACAACACAGCCCTTTTGGGTAGGGAAGTATCATTACTATCATTTTACAGCTGAAGAAACTGAAGTACAGAAAGGTGAAGTAACTTGCCCAAGAGATCTGGCAGGGAGAGACTAGACCCCAGCTATCCCAATCTCGTGCCTTAACCTCAGGACCAGTCTTTTTTATTTTGGGGTCCAGTGCAACTTCCATTAAAGTCAATGGGAAAATTCCCATCCACTTTGCTACTGTCAAACCAGAACGAAGAGAAGGTGATGGTTTCATGCAGAAAAAGAATGAAGGCGTTTCAGGCATAGGGGGAAAAAGCAGGAAAAATACATAGCTTGGAAGGAGAGTAGACAACAGGAAGGGGAGTGGGAGGAAATGAGAGCAGAATTATAGGCAAGGGCTTGACTGTGCAAGGCCTTGAAAAGATGAGGGTGAGAAACTTGAATGTGACATGGAATAAAAGAGGCAGTCAGTAGAGGGTTTCCAAGAGGAGAGTGATACGAGGGGAGTACCCTTGAGTAGCAGAGGAGGAAGATGACTTCCACCCTGCCCTTATCTTGGTTTAGAGAGACCCTTGTCTTCAGCGGAACCAAGTGTCCCCATAGGCATAGCCAGGAATAAGCATCAAAAAGTGGAAAACGGTTAGTGCCAAAGGTCACTGGCAGGTGAACTTCAGCATGTTGTCAGATAAAGGTAGTGTTGCCTATGTAGGTTCAAAGGTGCTTTGAGATCACCAAATATAGGTGAAGTCCAGTCCTCTGTGGTAGGTACAATAATGAAAGCTTGAAACAGGCCATGTAGTGCATAAGTAGAGGCAGCAGCAATGGCAAGGAAGAAAGAGGCTCTATTCAAATATTTCTGGAACAAGTGTCCTGAGATCAAGACCAAGAATTCTGTGATGATACAAAAAAGACAGGGAGAGAAAAATGAAGCAGTCTTGGGATGCATTTGATTAAATAGGTTGGCAGTCTTCTGTACAGTAAATGTGATACTGTAACACAGAGAAGCTTTCTGAAGAGCTGTGGTTAGTAAAGAGAAACTACATTAAGTGTCCTCAGTCTAAAATGTCACATGGCAAGAAACATGTATCACAATGAATAAAAGAATGAAATATATATAGTTTTGCTGAAAGTGACATTTTAGTCTGAAAAGTGGCTGCAAGAATGGCAATGTGGAGTTCCATGTTTATGGTCTCTTCCTTAACTCAAGATTTGCTTCGTTCACAAGTGAAAAGCTGTATTCTTCTATTTAAAACTGTCAGTGCCACAAACTGAGCCAGGGTTCTGAATGTCAAGTTGTGTTCTCTCTTGCTTGTCAATACCAATAACAAAGATTCTGTATGTGGAACTTTGCTAACAATTCTGTTGATGATGTGTGAGCCAGACGAGAAGCCTGCTCCTCTCCCATCACTGTGTCAATTCTTCAGGTCTAACAGAGCAAAAGGAGGTTAAAACATTGGGGCTGACCTTGCATACCTTTACATGCATAGTTCTTCCATTATAGCAGCTCCACTGAAATCAAGGGGATTATTCATGTGAGTAAGGATTTGCAGGATTGGGCCCTGTCATAGACTTGCTGGTCCTTCAAGAGGATTTGAATTTAGGTTCACCTGTGACAGATCAGCTACCCTCCCCACCTAGCTGATTGTGATCAGCTGGGGATCAGGTGGCTCAATTCACTTATCAGACCCAGATGGTGAAGAGTTGAGTGAGAGAGCTTATTTGTGGAAGAGAGCTACAGGAGGGTGATTGTCTCCTGTGACGGGCCCTGAAGGGAAGAGGTCCTATTGCGACCCGGGAAGTGGGCGGGTGAAGCCCGTCCACTGCTAAAGGATCCCCCTCCAGCCTAAGAGGGGGATCCACAGGACCGGGACACCAAATAAATCCGGGGGACAATTAATGAAATAACAGAGACAGGAGTGTGGTCAAAGGGTCAAATGAAGGGAACCAGACGGGGACACTGAAGGGAAGAGGTGGTAGGGAAGAAGGAGTCTCCTGCGGCAGGCCTAGGAAAAAGCCAACTCCCAAGCAGATGGGCTGGAGATAGGTTGGGATTAAGGATGCAGCCTGGGGAGAATCAGACTGAGGGAAGGAATCCAGGGAACAAGCCTAGAGGGTCAGCAGCTTGGTAGGAGCAGAGCCTCTTCAGGAGAAAGTCTGGAGGGTCAGCATTCTACAAGAGTGGAGGGTAGCCTATAAGGGGCAGAAGGCCCTTTTGTTTTATATTTTCTTTGGACTGGAGACTGCTACTTGACAGTGTCTGTGGCAGGACAGTGGTTGGGACTAGGAGGGGAACAGATAGTGTCCCTGCTGCAGTATGTCACAGCGGGTCACAAAGGGGTATCAGGATGCTGTGCTGCCACAGACCTTTAGTTTTGTTACTAAAAATAAGCAAATGGGATTTAAAGGCACAGAGGCCAGAATCTGATCTCTCATAAAACAGTGTAAATTGGAAGTAACTCCACTGAAGCGAGTAGAGTTACTTGGAATTTACATTGGCATTAACTGAGATCAAAATCTGCTCCAGGGAGCAGTTCTCTTGAGAAAGACAGTGCTATGTTTCCAGTCACACTGCTGACCATATTTGCACTTCAGTTATGATTGGCATTTTGTAGGCTGGTGCTGGCAGTGACCACCTTGCTTACAAGACAGTTTTTTCTAGTAAAATAATAATAATAAAAAAAATCCTACAGAAAGAAAACAAAAGACAGATTTCTGGACACATTGTGCCTTTAAATACACTGCAGAAACTCTGTTATGTCACCAGAATTACTGCAGATTTACACCAACGCAACTGAGGGCACAATTGCACTTAAAATTCCTAACAGTAACCATCTGAGAGTCCTGTGTAAAAGATTGCAAACCATATTCCCTCTCCAAGCTGAAAAAGAATTCTAATATTAAAACAGGTTGGTGACAGCCTGGTAGTCACTGGTATTGGTGTTTCATTCTGCTAGTGTCACAAATGGTCTCATCTCTGGCACTAGGCTTCCACATGCCAACTAGAATTAAAACCTTGCACAAAAAATACACACCATGGTTTATTCACAGTGACAAGTGTGTGTTACCTTGTGAATTCTCAGATTGTTGGGCTACAAAAATGGATACACTTCTCCTTATAAAGACAATTGTGATGGTGTCCTCGCTAGGCAGACAGACAACTCGTGACAGTAGAAAGAACAAGTTGAAAGCTTTCTTAATCTGGTTGCCGAAGCTCTTGGTCATGCAGATGACATCCATGAGAGAATGAGAGTGGAAACAACCAGGGCTGATGTGGACAGGCCAAAGAATAATAACTGTCATGGGGAATGGTTAAAATCCATGGCCAGCTGCTCAAAGGCATGGATCCTCAGGACATTACATTGTTTCACAGGGAATGTCAAGCACTGTGGGAGACAAAAAAAAGACTAACAATGCCAATTTGTTCCAAAAGCCAGATTCTGAAGACTTTCTGAGGGACTCCCTGTATACTGTGTCCCCCCGCGATACTATGCATTATGGCTGCCATTCCAGAGAAGCTATGCAGACTTGATAAATCTGCAGCCAATTTGCAGATTATGGTGTAATTTCAGTAGAGCTGGCAAAGGGAGGTGTAACTTTACCTCCCTGTGTTGCTAAGTTACTGTGACCTGGGGAGAGAGTTACTCTAGTGGAGGTGAGGTAGTGTTCTTCCCTCTACTCTCGGTGAGGATTCCAGATGATGGGTATGGCTTTAATTCCCACCAGGGCTCTATACAAGCTCTGCTTTTGGGAGCATCTGAGGAGGCACTGAACAAACCTACTGTGCAGAGACTCTGAACATGCTTCTCTCCCTCCCAGTGCTACCCTCTTCTCAGGCTGCACTTATGGTATCTGATGTAAATGTAGTTGTGGCCTTTGTGTGGAAGAACATTGTCTCCGTGGGTTCCCTGAGAGCTGCATGCATCTTAGAGGGTCCACTGGTTTGTGGAACAAACCTCACCTCCCCCGCCCCCCCGCTTCCATAAGGGGAAAACCCTGTCTTCTTAATAGAATGATGAGAAGGAAACTCCATGAAAGAAAATTCATGGAGATCCCTGCTGCCTGTGTGATTTAAATAAATAAATGGGAGAGAATATAGCCTCTCCTTGAATAAATGCTCAGCTCATAAGAATGGTATTGCAGAAAGGCTAGACTTAACTCATTTCAAACAAAATTTAACACCTGCATCCAAACTAAATAAGATTTTGGGTTTTTTTGAAGCAGGGTCCGTGTCTTCCTGTATGTTTGAACAGCAACCAGCACCATGAGGCCCTAAGCAGGACTAGGGCTTCTGAGTGCTACTGGAATTCAAATAAATAACTAAAGAAATTAGCTAAGACCAATATGAAGCAAAAGGCATGCATGCCATATTTGCTTTGAGTAAATTGCCATAACATAATTTTTTATATTTGGATCCAGATTCTGCTCTCAGTTCCATGGTGTAACTCTGTAGTAACTCTGTTGACTTCAGTGGCGATACTCCAGACTTACACCATTCTAACTGAGATCAGTATCTGGCTTTCAGTCTTTCATGTGTTACTGTTGGCACAGAACATAGAATACACAGGCACTGCCCAAGAATATTCTCAGTCCAAATGAGAACTGAACATGCTGACCCTGGAGACTAACTACTCCAGATCCTTTGGTGTGAGAGAACCTGTGACAGAATATGGACAGTGCTTTATTTAAATTCCAAACTAGAAATACACGTGGATAACTACATAAGGCCTGATTCTGGTCACACA